CTCCCCAGCACTACATCACCAAGGGCAGTGCTACAGAAAAACAGCTGCAGTAGCTCTCAAAGAGCATGGCCAAATCTCTGAGATCCCTTAGCCCCCCCACTTCCTCTGGATGTACACATTACGCTGGACATTCATCTGTGAGCAGAGGACAGGATGGGGGGGATTACAGAAACGAAGACAGCATCTTGTTGATGAACATTGAGGCAAAGAATTAATTGAATACTTCAGCTTCATGTGGGGATGCTGTCACTAAATCACCTACCCCATACAGAGACAGGACATATTTTTTCTTTTCCTTTTATTGATTTAGTGATAGTGTAGTCATAGAATATTTTCTTGTTACCCTTGATGTTTCTTGCAAGGGTCACTTGAGGTGAGCTTCAGCTTTCCTAACACTATCCATATATATGCCAAAGTAATGCCATAGACAGTTCACCTTGTAGCCTGTTCTTGCCTCAATCTCCTGTACATTGATTTCTTTTCTGCTTCAGAAATCTATGCAAGGTCCCTGATTAGTCAAGCCAGAATCCCGATAAATGTGTTTTTCCTCTTGAGCACCAGAATCAGATAGTCTACGACTTGGAAGATTCTGTCCTTTAAGACCTGTAAGCTTTTCTGGACTCCTCTATGACTCCCAAGCAGTCCACCTACTAGTTTCCTAAATAAGCCAAAAATCTGCTCTTGTAAGGTGCATGATTTGTGCTCTGCTACTTACTTTTCTCCCCATTGAATCATGAACTCCATTAATTCATGGTCACCACGTAAAGGGTTGCCATTGATTTCCAAAATCCCAGACAGTTCTTCCTTGTTAATGAACAAAAGATGGAGATGTGTGCCATACAGATTTGCCCATCCAGGACCTGGATGAAGAAGTCAATCCTGCCTCCCTCCACAAATCCCAATTACTTGCATTCCAACATCTTGCCCTTCCAGCAAGTGTCAGGGATGCTCAAAGCCCCTGCCCCCACAAGAACTGGGTGTGTGATCTAGAGACTTCCCTGAGCCATTTAAAGGAGACTGCACTCACTTGCTCATCCTGATCAGGCAGTCAGGACACTCACCTCTGCCATGACTCCAGGGCAGTTTCCAGGCAAGGACACAGAGAAGAAGCTAGGAACAGACAAGGCCAAACACGCTCTACTTGCTGATAATCAAACTACCTGCGGGCTTTAATTCTTGTCTTAGTATGCCACCAAAGCCAGTCTATTTCAGGACACAATTGTACATAAAAATGACAGTGCGATCAATATAGAATGGATAAAATGCAAGCACAACCATTCCGACGGATAAAATGTAAACGTATTTACAAAATGTAAATACATTTACAAAAATGGATACAATGTGGATAAAACATAAACACAATCATCCAATAATAAAAAGAAAAAAAAATAACAAATTCCAAGACAGAACATTGGCTAAGCTGCAAACGAAGCACAGCAAAACGGGAAGCACCGGGAAACACTGAGCTCAAATCACTGGGTCGGTTGAGGGATCTTTCATTCCCACAGCTGGGCTCCTTCATGCCATTCCCATTTATCCAAATCTCCCTGTGGTGTAAAGAGAAAAAAGGGGAAAAGGTGTGAAGACCAAGCATGACACACTGCAGTGGTTCCTCAGAGCAGTGGACAGCCAATTTCAGAAAAGCGGCTTCCTACGGCCCCCCGTGTCCCCGGTACCGAGCACTTACATTGACATTGAGGATACACAATCAGTCCGTCTGTGCACTTGGCTCTAAATTTGTCAGGGTGTGAAACTCGTTGGTACAACCATTTGCATTCAAAAAATATATAATCCCCAGTGCGAAAGGTGGACCCTCTCTGCAAGCTTGATGACTGTAGTTGAATATTGTTATCTTCCATAACACTTTCTTGCAGTATACAGTCCTCTGCAAAAAGCGCTTTCATTATTTTCCTGTTGCCCTCACGCGGGAC